GTCGATAATGTATACGTTGTAAATAGGACTGTTGAAAGAAGTAAGGCCAAAATAAATAAATGGTGTGTTTCCGGTTTCCCGACCCTACCTCCGTTTCCGACGCCGACCCTAAACATTTTATTGACAAAAATGAAAATAAAAATTCAAAATCCGGATTTTTCAGTCTGGCCGGATCAGATTATTCGTTTAGAGTACTATAGATCTTCAAAGCGTTTGATAATAACGACCAATATTGTTAAGTAAAGCATTTCAAGGACCAAGATTTTAAATAAACAAGCATGGCTTTTCGGCAACCGTGTAGCGTATTAGCTGTCAAATATGTGAAATATGATCACATAGACGCAAAATATAATGACATCAGTTCCGGATAATTACGATATGATGAATCTTTTTGAAGAACATCAAGCGGACCTATAGACAAAAAAATATGAAGTTGAAGCACTATGCTCAACTTCTTTGTTCAGGAACAAGCGAGATTTTTTAAATATTTGTATATATAATGAATAGTGTATTCAGTATATATACATATATTAACTAAATCTCGTCTTGTACCTGTGCTTCTTTGGACCAAAAGTCAGAATCGTTTCAGGTTGGACAGACTGTATCTGTCGGTAAATTGACTAACAATTTTATAGTAAAATGAGTTCAAATTTACTGCTAAAATCAATCCAGCTTTTGATGTAAAACATGCTCTTACGAATGTTGTACAGAATTGTGCTCAGGACGCAACACAAACGGCTGTTAATGCTTTTTAGTTTATGATGGCAAGGGGACAGACAATGTGGAGAAACGAGAAAGGTGAAACTTGAGAAGCTTTCCCCAGTAGGCAGACATGGTGTATGATTCATATTCATTTATAAATGAATCTGCCCCAGCACCATGTCTACTTTTATTCTTTTTTATTTCTCTGGCTGGTCCCATAACAATTTATATAAGAAAAGGGAAAAAATCCTGTCATATTTACATCTGCAATTTATTTGACCAGTAGATTAATGAGGTACCTTCATGACGAATTGTCACGAAATAGAAGTTCCTTCATAATAGAAGTTCCAACTGGAAAAAGTGTTCTGGAATAAATTTTACAGTATATGTTCCTAACAGAATGAATGGTTTAGAATATTTGTTCCAACAGGAACAAATATTATGACATTGGTTATAACAAAGTTTCCAGTGGAACTTCTGTTAGGCAGAACAATTATATGTAGACACAATAACGCTAAAAAATCTTGCCAAACGACTTTAAACGGTAATTTTTGGTGCATGACAATAAAATGTACATTTTCTTTTAGATGGTAAAAAAATCGACTGGTTTTGACGAATCACGTAAAATTTTTTCCAAAAATAACGGTTACGATAATTATTTGAGACCTCTGACCAAGGATTTGAATAGTATACAAATCCTTGCTCTGAAGAATCACGATAAGGATATTTTGATGAATTAAGGTAAAATTTTAACCAATTTGACGCTAACGGTAGCTGATAATGACCGTTTGACGCCTGACGGTAAAGGGCATTACTACCCTCATTAATAAGACAAAAGATTTCACATTCTCACTCTTCTCAAAACCTGGAATTTTAATATTGTCAGAACCACCCAATCTTCAAACAACATCACATTCTGTCAAACATCAAAACACATCTGTTTATTAAATAAAGAGGGTGCAAGGGCAGCTAGAGTATTAACCCTAAAAAAATCATAATTATCTGCTGCTTAGCATCGGTTCACAGTGTTTTCAAGGGGTACTAATCTGCTTCCACATGTATACCCTGTGTGACATTTACATTTTTAGGTTCAACGAGGCCCAACATAATAACATACCATGCCAGATTTTTTACTGCCATTTTTGGTTTAAGATAATTAATCGTGAAGAACATACACTTTTCTTTTTACGACCATAAAATTTTCATTAAAGTTTATTTTCATATTTCTGACGCATAACTAAAACAGAAAATTAAAAAAGCTGTAGACTTAATTACTATTCTAAATATCAAAGAAGCCCGCACATCAAACTATTTGATTTAGAACTTTTTTCTCCTGTCGACCCATCAATAAAAAAAAATAAAATGTTTTCATAAAATAAAATGTTTTACCTACCTACCCTACCTAATTTTTTTGGAGGTGAAATAGGAAACACACTATTAATTTATTTTGGCCTAAACGAACTACTTCAAGTTCAATTGCTTCTGTTTGTCATGGACTCAATTTGAAGTCTTGGACAAATTTGAATTTCATCTAACAATTTTGTTGTGTAAAATTAATTGAAACTTTCGGTTGTTTTTGCTCAAATATCGTTTTATTTGGATGCGTTGTGGTGCGCTGTTATTTGAATATGTTGTGTAGTTTGACATTTTTTGTGATCATGTGGTTCCAGGTGCTTGCATTTTTTATTTATAATATCGATATTATAGCTTCACGAACTCTTTATGAAATGATTTTCTTCACCTTAATCTACATTTCTCTCCTAATCTTGGTCAAAATAAAAATGAGAGGGTTGGTTACCAAAATAAAAAAAAAAAAAAAAAACCCATCACACGTTCATATGTCTGTGGAAAAATTATGAACCTCTTCAGTTATTAGTTTACTATGTGTTTTGTACTGTAAATAGTGCATTTTAAATTGTTAAATATGATATATTATTTCATTTTTTCAGAATTGCCCGGACAATTTCAATCATGACATATTATAAAGAAACTTTTCTACTGTTGAAACTCTGTGTTGACCCCGGCCCAGATGTCTCTTCAGAAGTTCTCGTTTATTTGTGTTGTTTGGTTGCCGTCTTATTTTCTATACACCCTTCTCATCTTATTCCCTTTTTGATAATATAATAACTTAACAGATCAATAAAAGCTCCTTAAATCAAACATCATGGTAAATCCTTTAACTTCATATGAAATACCCTTACCGAAAAATAAGCTCTGCGGCAAACATTTGCCGCAAGTTTGCAGCAAACATTGCCGCAAGCTTGCAGCAAACATTTGCTGCAAACTTGCCGCAACCATTTTACCATGCAAATGAAGGTTGCGGCAAGCTTGCTGCAAACATAATTATGCAAATTAGATTTGCCGCAAGCTTGCGGCAATTGTTTGCTGCAAGCTTGCGGTAATTGTTTGTTGCAAACTTGCGGCAAACTTGCAGGAACTACACATTATACCAATGTCATGTGTGTAGACATATTCAATTTATCTCTTTCAAATTACACAGCAACATTTTTAATAAAATCAATTCATGTCTGTATACAAACAGTCATTGAAAGAGTTCTTGCAAACTTACGAGATTTAAGGAAATACATACATGCATTTGAGTTTTGAAAAAGGGGGCAGGGGTCATTCTCAAATGACATCATATACCTGTATTAAGAAATGAAAAAGGATAAATCTCAAATGTGTATTGATTATAAAGCTAGGTAACAATTGCATAACAGAATTGAACTTAGTTTTAATAAACATGGTACAGTACATCAGTTACAAAATTCAAACTTGTAATAGCTAAAGTTTTTCATTACACACATACATGTATATATAGTTGCTTACTTTATTATGTATGATGATAACATTAATTATTTTATTAAAACATTCTATGAATTATTTGTACTTACACAATTACATACTGAATATCTTTATCTATTGAACCAAAATGCCTCCTTGATCTCTTATTTGTGAAATGCATTTTCCAAACACAACCAACATGACCTAGCCACAATTTCAAATTGATAACTTCCAGGAAGTGCCAACTAGGCATGCCCAGTCAATATTGTGTAATTCTTGCAATGTTCTGGCAAACATATAGAATGGTCAAAGTTTTCTGCAATCTTGCGGCAAACATATAGAATGGTCAAAGTTTTCTGCAATCTTGCGGCAAACATTCTTTATAATTTTAAACTTTCTGGCAATCTTACGGCAAACATTGATGTTTCTGCAAACTTGCCGCAAGCTTGCAGCAAAAAGCTGCAATGTTTGCCGGAAGTTTGCAGCTAGCGGCAAACATCTGCAAACACTATTTTCTGTGTTCCTGCAAACTTTTTGTTTGCCGCAAGCTTGCAGCAAGTCTGCTGCAAGTTTGCGGCAAACAATTCAGTTCCATAAGGGTAGGTAAAGTATAAATAGCTTCAAGAAAAATCCAGTTTCTAAAATTAGACATTACAACATGTACAATGATAATACATAACAACATCCCAACAACATTGTGATATGACGCAGTGGTTGATCCAGAAATTTTCATAAGGGGGGGGGGGGCTGACTGCCAAAGAGGGGCCCGCTCCAGCCATGATTCAGTGATTCCCTTAACAATCAACCAAAGTTTCCCCACAAAAGGAGGGGCCGGGCCCCTGCCCCCCCCTTAACCTAAATCCGCCTCTGTGACGTACCGTTTGTTGACTTGAAAAAGACCAGTGTCTTTTACCGTATTTGCTTATTCTTGAAAATAAACAGATTGAATGGATTATTATTTTTTGCTTGCTTTTTTATCCAATACATTATAATATAGGATCTGGATGCGATTTATAGAATCGAGAATAATGGGCCGAATGCACAGAAAAATCAACAACAAAAAATAAAGAACGGAGAAAAAATAGGGTAAAAAAAGAGAATAATAAAATATAAAGAATAGAGAATAATAGGCCAAGCATATAAAGAATAGAGAAAAATGACATAAACAAATTAAAGAATACAGAAATGATAGACCCCAAACAGACCCATATTATACATAGTAATATATGGCCATAAATAAGACATATTAAAAATATCAATTAAGAAGGGCAAAACCAAGTGCCGTGATAATATTTCTACAGATGAACGATGCAACTAATGTTAAAATCTAACTATATTTATCGATAATAAATAAAAGAATTTCCGATTACGTTTATCATATTCAAAAGAGAATAACAATACTACCAATAATAATAATAGTAAGAACAATAATAATAACAATAATAATATTTACATTAGATAATATTAATAATTATTACAATAACAAATATTAATCAACAGTTGAAAACCCTTACCTTGAAGTGCTCAAGTGTCCTTTATCAGCAAGACAAATATTTGTATTGTAACTTAAGCTACTACAAAATAAACTGCACCTCCTTATGTAAATTTACACTGTATATCATTTTATAATGATTTAAATCAAATATGTAAGCATATAAATGTGATAGGTGTGTTTCGGTTCAGTGGACCATTACGGCTATAAAAATAATTGAATTTTCAATACTTTTTACATGTATTAATTTGTGGTCTTAAATAAATAGATAAATCATAGCTAAATAAAAAATAAATAGAAAATGAATAAAAGAAAGTTTGGTCAAGCCGAGGTAATTTTGATGACTTGATGCCATTTTATCTGGACTGGTCAAGTTTAAATCATCTCCTCAAATTTCACACAGAAGCCATGATCGTGATTTTGTTATTCGTTATGGGATGTCTGTCACAGAGGTACTCCTCGTATTGACTATCCCGTCCTCTTTTCTTCTTTAATGGCATAACAAAATGCAACTTATCATTGGAATTTATCTTATGGTGAACAGGCATATGGTGGGTGGCACTATTGGATCAGGAACTGCTCAACTTTCCAGAGCAGCTAAGTGGTTGAATGGGAGAAGTGGCTTTTGTCTTACTAGTATCGGTGTTATTTTATCTATGCAATGTTTGTAGTGTCTATCGTTCATGGCCATGTTTATCCTTTGACTTACCATAAGTGTTTCCCCTAAAACCCGACCTAATCACAAACTTAACAAATTGTTGACGCCGCCACCGGAAACAGAACGCCTAAATTTCGCCTACAACACTTCGTAGAGGCCAGACAAAAACTACATGAATACGGATAAGTCAAGAGACTTCTTTGTTGTTATTAAATTGGTCAAAGAAAAAAAAACATCGGCAAATCTAAAGCGCAATCCTATTTCTGACGAGCTTGTAATTCGTCTTTTTTCATAGCCTTCTTATACAGGTCCGTGATATATCATAATATCACCCCCTCCCCCCGGATTTTGGTGGGATAAGTGTTGTTCGGTCTTACGTTTTTTACATGGTGTTTTGTGGACTTTTTGTCATTTCGTCGTTTTTTTTTCTTCTAATTTTGCCATTATTTTGTCCGTCTCTTTCCGACTTATGAATTTTGATATATTCCACCTCATTTTTATTGTGAATTTTAATAAAATGGTATTTCGTATTCTGGACTAATTTAGTCTTTTATGTTATGATTCTAATGCGTTTTAGTCGCATAGATTGTTCTTCCGTTTATCATGAAAAGGAACAGACGTTTAGTACATTTTACAAAACAGATAAAGACAGCTCGGTTCTATTTCTCATTAGCTTTCCAAGAATCGTATGTACAATGTATGAAAGTTTCATAAAACAACAAAGTGTACAGCTTCATTAACGTAATTTTATTGCTGGTTCTCTTTTATCACAACTTAAATTAATAATTATCTTATTATCTAAGTAGTATTATTGATAAACTTAAAAACCATACACTGCAAAAACAAACAAAAGTTAACTACATATAATATTTCTACTAATAAATTATTTGACTAGACAAGATATCAACTTGTTTAAATGTATAGAAAACCCATAATGACTGAAAGACAAATCCATTGGAGGACGAATGCCAATAGGAAAATTCAAGGCAAATTCAAATGTTACATGATTATGTGATCTTCCTCTAAATCATTTGATTTTCGGATTCTCATAACTAAAAGTAGTGCTAGATAAGTTTTTACAGTTCCTTTGATATACGTCCTACATATAGGACATTTTTTCATGACAGGAGCACAGTCATTACAACGTACAATATGTCCACAAGGTAGAAAGGCAATGCATGCTTCTAAATCTAAACAGACTTTGCAGAGACTCTGGTCCCTCAACTGTCTGAAAGACTGATGTCAATGGCCAAATCAATTGAAAGACAAACACAGGTCAAAGCATTTTAGAAATAACCGACAGTCTTTTACATACATGCATGTGCATTGACTAAAACGATATGATGAAGTTTGAGAAATGTACCATAGCATGTCTTATTTCTTTACTTGCAAAGAAAAAATCTTTTCATAAGTTAGTCTTGTTCTCTAAGACAATCGTCAGCTTCCGTTATATCGGTTCTACGATAAAGAGATGCATATTTCAATTTTAATTGACTGCTGAAAGTTTGCATGCGACAGGTATCTAAGGCTTGTAATATATCTTCAAGGCATGCGCCATCGGCAGCTCTTTTCTTCCATGCAACTAAACATCGGTATATTTGTTCCTTGACTCCGTTATGTTGGTGATCAATGCGAACTTCGTCTATTTTATTATCTATTTCTTCAACATTTGGATATACTTTACCTGAAAATTAAGAGATCAGATTCTGGATTAACTAAAACATAGATTTACCGTTGTGTTGAATAACCAAAATTCTGCATATAAAAAAGTATAACAAACAATTCTTTCAGATAGTCAATTGAAATCTGTTAAAACTGTCACAATTTGAATAAACATACGGGTATAAGAATTAAATTAAAATATACAACATTTTGTATAGTGCTTCCACCGTCCTTTTATATCCAGTTTTTATTCAGAAGTAAGTTAGTAAATTCTATTTAGAGTTGTCACTTATACTAGCATACATAGCAACAATCAACACTAGGCCTTTACTCACGAAAACATACAAGCATGCTATGCGGCATGGGTTTTGCTCATTGTTGATTGATTGATTGATTGGTGTTTAACGCCACTTTCAACACTATTGTGCTCTTTTGTGGCGGTCAGTTTTTATTGGTGGAGGAAGCCGGAGTGCCAAGAGAGAACCACCGATCTTTGGTAGGAAAACTGACATTCCTAGTCAATTAAGATTGCAGTCGAGCGCACCCGTCACATGCGGGATTCGAACTCACAACATCAGTGTTGACAGGCTAGTGAGAAAGTAGTTCGACCACTTAGACCACTGGGCCACCGAGGCCCCTGATCATTGTTGAAGGCTGTGACATATATAAATTTGTCTAAATGGCACTCTTGTCAATTCTTCTTATTCTAATAGCAGTATAAATAAAATCCTAAACACAATAGCACACATACACTTATAGGCAAAAACAATGTATAAATAAGAAAAAAACCATGGCATATGAATTAAGCCATAAGAAACAGCACTATACATAGCACTATAGATAGCTAAATCAAGAACCAAACAAAATTAGCAAACAGCCCAACAAACGATGAGTAAATAGCATACAAGCAAAACTAAAATTCAGTCAAAAAGAAAGCAGGTCAAATCATTTTTAACTTGACATGAAGCTGACTGCATATAGTAATCTAATGCAGTTTGGTACAATACTTGTGTTAACTAATTTAAAACATATTGCCAATTATATTTAAAAAATACTCAGTGACAGCAAGCAAGAATGTTTCAGCGTACTAATAAAAAGAATTGAATTTTGAAAAAATACCGTTCTCTAAGACATTAGGTTCTTATTTTGGTTTTCATCTTTTAGAAATGATAAAAATCAATAAAATATTAGGAAAAAATCTGTAGTCAAACAAAAACGCATACTTACTGAATAGTTTTCTCAAGAAATCAACCCAGATGGAATCTGCGAGGCGTATTTTAGCAGAAACTTCCGTGAATAACTGACTCCATGTAACCTCATTTTGGATTGAGTCGTCTAGGAAAAAGAACACATGTAGAAATGGCAAATGAATAGTTTTAAAAAAATTACTCCTTCTACATAGCTTACTACGAAGGTTGAAGAAGTGCAAATGATATATTGGTTAAATTTAAATCCGCAATACAGTATCTATAAAGAGGCATTAACTACGATTAAGACAAAAAAATCTAAATATATTTTTTGTTTTTGTTTCAACCATTTATAAAAGCGGAATATTTAAATAGTATTTCAGTGTAATTCCATTTTGTCAAAATTAGCTCGAAAATATCTCTGATTTATTATTGGCTTGCAAGTCAATAAGTCAACCTCATTTGAAACGTATGCATTGTGACCTTCGTTTCACCTTTTTTGAAATGGGTTGCACATGTGATCAGCAAGTCCAGGGATTGAAACGAAAGTCAGATGAAAAAGTGAAACTAGGGAAGGCAGCAAAAAGAAGACTAATTTCGTTGATTGATTTGACCAGAAAAAAATAGTCTTATGCAGATTATCTATAGATAAAATGTATCATGCTTCTTAATCTTATGGAAATATAAGACTTAAATGTTTTCTACAATCTAATTAATAGAGATACCTGTTTGATTGTGGTTTACTGGTGGTATAGGGTACATTTCGATTTCAATTTCAGCTTTAGGACAACACAATTCTTTTCGTTCATTGATTGTGTTTTCGTTTAAGTCTATTCCGACATAAGGCTCACAATCTTCATCCGTCTTCTTACTAAAAGACAGAGCAAAGTGAAAATACAAATATATTTCATTTTCATCTTATTACAATCATATCTACATTTTTTCACGTATCAATCATAAGAGTTGAATATAATTAAATAAATGAATTTGTGTATCATTCTTTCCATATTTCTACTCTTTTTGGTATTAGTATGTGTTGGTATAAACATGTATTTGTAACTTGTATTATCTATTTTGTGTGTGTGTTTGGTTCATTTTAGTTACCTCGATTAGGTTTTGTTTTCTGTATTCCAAATAAATTTAAATTCACGCTTAGAGGAAAATACTCTTGGTATTGCATACAAATTTTGAAGACGCGGACATACTTTTAGAACAATAATCTTGAAGTAAATGTGATAAAGTAAACAAGTTAATTTGATAGCAAGAATTTTAAAGTTTCTTTCGATTTAAATACTTGATGTTTTCGCGATTAGATCTTTATCACAGAATAAGGGGGCACAATCCCGTCGCGAATATTTCCTCCTTTACGGTATGTAGGAATAGGATTATCTGGTCTGTACTACCCTCAAGTTTATAAAAGTATATATTATACTTCATGTCAAAATGCCAGGTTTTGGTTGGTTAATACGAGGGAGACAATTTACTCTATCCCATGGCAGATACTCTATTACCCTTCACGGAGACGCTTGCTCAAGTGTGCGCTTTTTAAATAAATACGAATGATTGTTATGTAGAAGACGACATAGTTTATTACTTTGAAATTTGAAATTTAATAGACAGTAATAACAGAACATTCAGTATAATAAATTAAATAACATATCTGAGAGGGTTATAGAGCAGATTGTTACCCCTCGAAAAGACATTGTCAACCTTGGCTTCGCCTCAGTTGACAATGTTTTCACGGGGTAACAATCTGCTCTATCACCCTCTCAGCTATGTGTTATTTTTATAATGAAGTATGATATATAAGAGATGTGGAATAATGACAATGAGACAAATATCCATCCGAGACCAAATTAAGTGGAGGTAAGCAACTATAGGTCTCCGTACGACCTTCAACAATGAACAAACTCCACACCGAATAGTAGTCTATAAAAATTTTCGACATGAAAAAATGACTTTCTAGCTGTCTGGGTTATCGGCAATATGAGTATATTGTTTTGTTTTATTCAAGAGTATGTATTTATAGGAAAGAAGTAAAGGTAATACTAACAACTATTGAATCACAGACTCCCAAGGGTTTTACAGCACAACATATGAACAAACTGTAAAAAAAGTCGGAAAGGACTTCACTCATCAGATCAGCATGAATCGTAAAAGTCAGCTTATAAAAAGACAAAAAGACAAAAGGCATGAATTACCGATCTGAGAGTTATCGTTGATACTGAAAACTAGTTCAAAGCCAATTACAACTAATGATACCAATTTCTGTGTGCTAGACACATTTTTTCTGGAATAAGTATTATCAGGTACCCTCGACATCGAATTTTGGAGAGCCAAACACTTTAAATCAAACATAGAGGACCTTTAAAGGCTTAGGTCTAAAATGAATAGTGATAAAATCAATGAACTAAACAAGTTTGACAAATAATATCAACCTCCGGATTTTCATTCTTTTTTTTTCGATCATGTTTTCGGATTATTGTTACAATGACGTGTAGACATCTCGTTTTATTCATAATGCTCACTGTTATAAATACAAAATTAGTATTACTAGTACTATAACTGTATAGTTAATAGTTTCATTTAGCAACACCTACCCAGATTTTTTGCAATGGTTTAGTTTCCCCTTTCTGTAAAGACACACCACAGCTAAGCCTATACCAGCTATCACTATTAGAGTTAAAACTACAGGAACAACTATGTTAACTATAGCCGTCTCATCTACAACATGCAACATGCTAAAATGATTGATTTGATTAATTAATTGATTGATTACTAATCGTCCAGTGGCAAATATTTCATGCATGTTGAAGACGCGAACAAATTAAGCAATAAATCAATCACTTAGGTTCTGCAATGTAGGTCTAACGAAAAAAGGGGGAGATGTTGGACTGTCATTTGATAAAATGGATAAGTTGGACAGAGGCAGTAACTGCTGTGTGTTGCAGTTTGTCGTTTACTGGAAGTTTTTGCTCGATGTTATTAATATGTAGGGAACATGACATAATCAAATATAGGGCGTTTGATTTTTGCTGGTGCTTAAAATGAAAGTGTTTTTACAAATCATAAGCTTTATTTTGGTAATTTTCGAATAAAAAAAATCTCAAATTAAGTTTCGTATTTCAAAATATAATTTATTAGATATACAACAATTTATTATTGACCAAAAACTACCACCACAACTAGTAATACTAAGTACTACTGCTAAAATCTTATATGTGAATTTGGCTATTGTTATTCGATATAAACCACTCACCGTGTGAAACACAAATGACGTCAGTTGTTTCGTCACAGGCTTTTTTAACTTTTCGTTCACCATCACATGTCGAGCATGGCAAACATTTGGCTGTTAATGAGACCTTAGGAGAAAACGTTCCCTTCTCACACATGGTACATACTGTATCGTGTTCAGGTGTGCCTAGAATGTTATAATGGTACACAACATTACACTATTTTTCTTATTGTGGTAGAACTGTTGGAAACGAGAGTGTTAGACATGTTTTATCCATCTCTTTTCAAAGATCAAGCAAACATATTTTTAAATGGATAAGATATCGTATATTGGCCTTTAATTCCCATATGTCATCATGTCGTGTAAAGTTGAAGGGTTGCTTTTCCTGCAATTCCGTTCAAAATTATGTTCTGCTACCGGATACACCAGACTAAATAGCTTTTATCATTTACGGTACTTATGCCATGATACAAGAGCTTACATATTACATAAATAATCGTTGATAGTAAAGGCATATGCCATAGGATGTTAAGTTTAAAATAGCATTCAGAAGTCTTTAACTCGTAATTCCCAGAAAAAACAACGGGCGGACAAAATAGAGAAGTAAAATCTGTGAAGTAATTCCATTTAAAAAGGCAATACTGAGTAGATACATATAGAATCCTACTTCCTCAGCAATTAAACGATTAAAAGAATGTACCAACTAGGTTATAGCTGAAAGAACAAACCAAATAAAAGATTGCTCATTCTCCATGTAAAAATACGATATAAAAATAAAGATGTGGTATGATGGCCAATGAGACTACTATCCATCAGCAACAAAATTACGTAGAAGTTAACAACTAACGGTCACCGTAAGAGCTTCAACAATGAGAAAAACCCATACCGCATAGGGCCCCGAAATGACAAATGTAAAACAATTCAAACGAGAAAACGAGCGCTTACCGGTTGTCTGTACTTCCGTTCCTGGTTGGCAAGGACTATGTTTTATACATATCCATTCACCGCTACCTTTTGAATGATTAAAATAGCCATATTTACATCGACATGTCATATCAGCAGTGGCGTTACATGTGCTTTCCGGTGCTGCATTTTTGTCAATGCAGTAAGGACTACATAGAGCACAGCTAGTTGCTATATTGTATTGGTTATTATAATATCCGTCCGGACATGGTTCACATACTGCTTTTGTTCCATTTGCTGTGCAGTCAGATTTTCTGTACAAACCAGGAGGACAGACAAGACATGTCAGACCATTCTGAGTTATGTATGTCGACTGTGGACCAAAATTTGTTTTTAGTGTCCGTTTATTTCTGTTGAGAAAATGATTGTTCGCTTCTATATGATGGAGTCCTCCACTTGTTTGAACAACCGCCTCAGATGATGACAGATATGCTTCAATGAAATGGACAACTAGACTCATACATAACAGCAACTGCGCAAACATAGTTGATAGGCTAGTGCTAAAAATGAATAATTGGTACGGTTTAAATCACAGGCGCTTGGGTATATGATACAGAAATTTTTTTCTTAATATTTTTTGTTGTTGATTAACATATGCAATTTTCTATATTTATACTACATATCTATCACTACTGCGCATGTCTCACCTAGTTTCGAGTGATTTTACCAACTCTGAGACAAACCCCCATTTTACTATCCACTAAGACTTAGTGTGGATATAGTAAAATGGGGGTTTGTCTCAGAGTTGGTAAAATCACTCGAAACTAGGTGAGACATGCGCAGTAGTGATAAATATGTAGTATAAATATAGAAAATTGAATATTTTAATCAACAAACAAAAAATATTAAAAAAAAATTTCTGTATCATATACCCAAGCGCCTGTGGTTTAAATCTTGAATAGCGTTATAGTTTTTCAAATTATTGTGAAGCCCAGTGCTTCCTGGATATTCCTTCGAGTTAACTTAAATTTAAGTAAATTGACCAAAATGGCTTTCACGTGTTCATGTACTGTATAAGTATACATCCTCGGATAAATCATATCATATTTTCAGGTTTTAGCGTCCTTATGCAAATCTAAAATAGATCTTCTGACGTACACAAATTAACATTTTACAATGTAATCGCTTTTGATCAGTGACATCAATTAACAGTCAATTAATCCTACCCTCTCAGTCATACAATGGCATAACATATTTCTAAATATAGGGTAGGTCTATTTTAACAAACGGTGTTATTTTTAGTACATAAATACCCTATACTATTTTTAGATTAAAAGGGTGGGAGACATGTGTAGACATCGTAGTTTATCCTGACATAAAAAAAGATTCCCTCAAGTTTTTTTGGTTGTTCTAATGCCTGATATTCAATTTACAGTCCAACTGTTGTACATCACTTATTAACCACCCAAAAGCATTTTTTTAAACAAAAAACAAGACAAAATCATGCATGTATGACCCGACAAAATGCAGAACGCCGATTGATACAGTTTTGACAGAACCCACAAATGTTGGGCCAGACGCAAGACTGTTCATCGATAGACTACATAGGAATATCATATTGGCCCGAGAGATAGCCAAAGAAAATTCACTTGAGGCACAACAGAAATACAAGGCACAACATGATAAAAATGCGAGAGAGGCAACTTTTAAGATTAGAGATAAAGTTTGGATGGATACAAAGACTACGCCAGTTGGATATTCAAGAAAACTTTGTAATAAATGGCAAGGACCGTATTACATAACCGAAGTTAAAGGTAGAAGCACGTATAGACTCCGGCGCTGTTCTGACGATGTACCAATTAAAGGACTTATCAACGTCAACAGGCTAAAAAAGTTTTATGCCTACAAACAATGTAGATGTTCCAACTGACGACGAAATGTCAGACGATGATGACAATGAAGAGGAAAATGCTGAAGATGACGATGAAATTGTTCAAACTGATACACAGCCCGACTCTAATGACCCTATACGAAACGATACCCAGGTACAACGGCACACAAATGATGACCGAAATAACGATGATTCAGATCTGTATCTAGTAGAACGGATAGTAAAAGCAAAACGTATAAACAATAAAATGCATTATTACATAAAATGGTTAGGTTTTGGTAACAGAAGCAATTCATGGGAACCGGAAGAAAATATTCCTCCAGAATTAAGACACGAATTTAAAGTTCGCATGGATCAAACTAAACGTATAAAAGCACGTAAAACAAAGAGATAGAAATAGCCTCCCCCTCCTTATTCTTCTGTAGATTTACACATTTTAATTACACATCACTTTTCAATCAGTATTGCGATGTTCCATACAATGCCTTTTCAAGTATCGAAATGATCTACACTTTTCGTTTATTGTTTAAAACAGATATCAGGTATAAGCGACATTTTGATAAATGGTTACATTCACATAGATGTGTTCGATGTATTAGTACAAAGATGTGTACATAAATAGGCATATAGTGCTACAGAACTAGTTCGGACAAATGTTCCTGAAACTTAAAATATTTAGTAACAAAATTCAGATTGAAGAGAATCTCCGGGATATTCTTAGTGTTCATTCCAGGTGGAAATAGAGTTGGTGAGGAAAACAGATTTATTTGACAAAACAATGACTTAATGCAATAACAATGTTTATATACATATTACTGATTTGTTTTATATTTCCATATAGATTCAAGTATCGAACTTCTGTGAAAGAGACACAGTGTTCATTTGTTATTTGCATGGTGGCAAATATTACAGACTGTTCGTTTTATACATATTGATTCGTGATTTATTCGTGTTGGTATTTAGACACACTTAGATTTAATTACATGTACTTTAAAGAAATTTTGAGAGAGAAAATTTTAGACGACAAATGTTCGTAATAGCGCGCTTGTAAATAATGTAAATAAATTTTGCTCTTTTTAATTTCTCCTCTATGCATTTTGAAATATTATTCGTTCATAATTTACACATGCTGATACGGGAGTATCAGATAAGGAGCGACGGGGTAATATGACCCGACAATTGTTCGTTCAAAGTTCACATTTAGGATTTTGTATATTTTTATAAATGTTAGCTTTTTATTATTATTCCGAGTCCTCATTGCGTTTTAATAATTTATAAGTTTATTGTATTTTACGCTATTCAAAAGTTACTTGTATTTTACACTTAACTATAATCCTTTCATTCAGATTAATTATCAAAGATTTATATCCGTCTTTAAGATAAAAGGTTCTGTAACAAAGAACATAGATAATTTGACACTAAGTGATAACTGCCGAAAGCCATTCTTGACAAACTTATACGAAGCATGTTTTTAATCCGTAATCCCCGCTTTCGCCAAAACGCGAATTAATATTATTTAATGAACAGATATTTGATTGGTTGATATTCCGCAGGTCAATCAGTCTTTTGAATTTGTATTTTAGATTTGTTTTTATGTTGTTATTCAGTTATGTTTTAATGATTGAAATATATGGATGCGAAATAAATATGTAAACTTTCCAGCGACTTGGACTTTATTTAAGATACCGCTAGTTTCCCCCGAAACTAATAAATATGACAGAGGTAAAACGCGAATTAATATTATTTAATGAACAGATATTTGATTGGTTGATATTCCGCAGGTCAATCAGTCTTTTGAATTTGTATTTTAGATTTGTTTTTATGTTGTTATTCAGTTATGTTTTAATGATTGAAATATATGGATGCGAAATAAATATGTAAACTTTCCAGCGACTTGGACTTTATTTAAGATACCGCTAGTTTCCCCCGAAACTAATAAATATGACAGAGGTGACCAACAACCTGGTCATACATGTACTGATTTTGTGTCATGGATGGATACCCCCTAATATCCTTTGTTTTTCTATTAAAGACAAAGTCAAAGACAAAAAAATCCAACTTAAGGTTGCGAGAACACTTATAACGTAGTAGCCAATTGTTAAGATTCCGAGACAACTCAAATTTTACAAGATTCTTGCTTTATAAAATATTTTACGTAATTGACGGTAACTTGGCATGTACCTACTGTGATGAACTTTATTTCAAGCGGGTTTGGTTATCCCATCCTATGTTTTAGTTCTAAAACTTTCTTACCCTTCTAAGAACACAACTCTTAATACCTTGTATATGTAACGAGTATGATTTTAAAGTTGCGGAAAGTCAATTGTCATCAATTTCACAACAAACATACGATAAGTATGTGTTGAATACATAGACTTATTGACTGACTAATAATACCTGGGTATATTTATATTAGGATTAATCAGGAGTGACTGTGAAAAACATATGACTGACAAAAATTCGACCAACAACGAAAAAACAAACAAATACAACATTTTCATTGGTGTCGTATAAATACGCTTAATCGGGCACCAATTTCGCAAATGACTGAATGATATAATTATAGATATATAATAGAATGATAAAACACTAAAGCGTTATCAGCTATATGTATATTACTATTAACAATATCACATTCTAAATTAAATTACCTAAATGATTAAAATAAAAGCTATTTTACATGTAATTCAAATACACATTGATATAGTTAAATTCTTACTTTACTTGCACTCGGCTTTAAAATCCAACCACACCTATTAATAAAGCATATCAATTGATCACTATTCACAGGTTATAGTGTACTATTTAAACAATAACATGTGTATTTTTTTGTATCACGTGAACACAAGGATATGAACATAATATTGTTACGTGTGTGTGATCCTTAATGTGTTCCATTAATTTATTTCATATATTTATAATTTTTTTTATATTTTTTCTCAGAAATGTTGATAGTCATAATTTGATGAGAATTTTTCAGTCATGAATCTTAATGCGTCAAAAACCTAGCAATAGCTTTGAACTATTTTCCCCTCTCAACCAATCTGAGAGCTCAATTAGTTCCCGGGAAAATTTAAGCTCGTGCAATGATTGTGGTTTGGATAGCATACCCAGCTCAGATTTCCAGGTGTGTAGACCTATTTAAGAAAAGAGCGAGATTTCCACCATGTGTGATGATGTGCGCTTATTTTATTTTTAGTAGACTGGGCAAGGAATCTTGCGCATTTTGTACTCTGTGTAATTTTGGAAAATGGATTTAGACATTTTCTAGGTAAAATTAGTATGTACTGAAATGGCTAGATTTGACTAAGGTTTTCATTGACTGTGAACCGAAAACTTCGAATTGAACGTATTGACGCGTAGCTTATTTAGAAAGACTTTCTCTTGGTTATAATTGAGTAAATAATGAGCTGATTTTATATGTATTCTAAAAACAAATACAAGTGCTCAGTCTGAAAAGTAAAATAACAAAAATACCGAACTCCAGGGAAAATTCAAAACGGAAAGTCCCTTATCAAATGGCAAAATCAAAAGCTCAAACACATAAATGGTTTTATAGCTAGCTAAACCTCTCACTTGTATGACAGTCGCATATAATTCCATTATGTTGACAACTATGTGTGAACAAAACAAAAAGACATAATAGGTAAAAATGTCAACGATAGATGTACAGCAGTCAACAATGTGTTATAATCATAATCACTATAAAACAAACAACTATGTCAACAAAGAAAAACAAAATGGCATATAGACACTCCATAGACAAATTAAAGCACATGAGCAAACATTAAAGACAAGAATACAAAAAATGACCATAGCACTATAACACAATTGCGGGATGTATAAGTACAGAGCCACGCCAAAAGGGTATTACCAGAAATGGACTAAACAGTAAAGGTTAATAATTTACAAAGCTAAAGACAAATAAAAGAAACCATAACACGTAATTAAGATGATAAACAACGTCAGTACCTAGAATCTATACTTCAAGACCATCATGTATTATTTGTGAAGTTGATACGGAATATTTATTAACAAGGTCTTGGTATCATCCGATGAACTTTTTTTAGGAAAAGGACGAGACATTCTTCGACATAACCCTGGTTCATTAACTTCTGATCAGACAGTGGTGATTTTTTTTATAAAGTCTGAGTAGCAGCTGCAAGCTCTTGAATACCGAATTAGTTGGGAAATGTATTCCCATATGCAGGTGGAGTTGGTATATTGCTTCTAAGATGGGGGAAATTGATAATTTCAAAATTTAAACCGTTTCGTTTGTCATAGATCCTGGTACTGAGATGACCGCTTATGTCAAATTCGAGGTATAAGTCTAAAAATGGAGCGGTTGAAGCCGTGTCTGTTGTTTCTTGAATTTCTAGTTCTGGAGGATATATTAATTGAACCCAATCAAAAAAGTTTGGATTGTTAATGGAAAGAACATCATCAATATATCTGAATGTGAAATTAAATGATCTGGCTTCTTTGATCTTCTTGTTTTTGACAAGTGTCTGAAGGAACTCCGACTCATATGAAAATAAGAAGAGGTCGGCAAAGAGAAGCGCACAGTTCGTTCCCATAGGAATGCCGACAATTTGTTGATAAAGGCTACCTCCAAATTCAACAAATATGTTGTCAATAAGAAACTCAAGCATGCTGATCAGTTGTTCCTCTGTGTAGCATGTTTTACCTTTTTGTTCGGTGACATTGGTGTCTTCCCGATTGTCCCACTTTTTGAAATTACAGGTAAAAATGTAATGAAATTTTTTGGGACAATTGGGAAGTTTAAATGTGGGACAATCGGGAATTGTTTTGATAGTGATTGAATTAGTTAAGTAAGTAAAACTTTATTTTGATTCAGCATATTAACAAACATATTACAACATAAGCTCTAATGAGCTTTTCACCGAAACACTTACAGTTTTACAGTGAATGAATGAATGAATGATTTCTGAATGAATGAAGAATTTTTTATTGTCATATAGTTATAGAGACAATAAGTATATACAACAATATAATGTACAGTGCATGTGTGAATGAATGATATACATTAACCAGGAGGAGAGACTTTCACATTAACAGCTTTAATATATCGACATAATTTTTCTAAAACTGTAATATTACTTGAGGAAAACAGTTAAAATAATTTTAAGGTGTTTGCATTTTTCCAACAAAATTCCTGTAAATATTTTTTTCTTTCATTGGCGAAAGATTTACAAGACGAACTATAATGATACTCGTCACCGATTTCAGCCCAGCCACAGAGACGACACAATCTATAATTTCTTGACAGATTATGCCATCTCCCTGTCTCGACTGGTAAACGGTACCTACCACATCTAAATTTACAAAACATATACATACAATTCAATGGTAAAATAGATATATATTCTTCAAATTTAAATTTTGTTTTAAATATTCTACAACATGTACCTTTAGAGGTGGAATTAATATTTTCATCCCATTCCTGTATAAATTGGTCTTTCAGTTTTTGTTCTACACATTTAGAAATCCACAAAGCAGAAAAAGAACCCTGTTGATTCCAAATATTTGACATTCCACAATTGTCTAATGTGTTTTTTATGAAACATAACCATTTACTCTCCAAACCATAATTATTCGAATAAATAATTAATAACTTATATAAAAAAGAGAAGAGTTTACATTCTTTTCATTGTAAAAGGCGACACCAAAATTTGATCTGGCAAAATTCTGGACATCAGCTTCGAAATCGATGAAGAAAGTTGTTGGGTTCAGGCGAATTTGCAAGAAGTCTTCAGTTGTGAAAAGATTCTAGAGTAAAAATGAAAAGACTAGAGGAAACATCTCTCCATCAACAATTGCGTGTTGCGTGTAAAGGGTAAATGAGTTTATACTTTTTTTTTTTAATTCCAAGCATTTTTTCTAAATTATTTTAAAACTTAAAAAAAAAGTTTAATTTAAATTACGGTATTGATATTATTATAAATAAACGTAACATTATAGATATATGTTATATACTAGTCAACAAAAGTAACGATACACAAATTTGAACTCCAAATTATCATAAAATATAATAAATAGGAAAAACTGTTAAATTATCCAATGAAAAACATTCATTTGCGAAGAAAATGCATATGATAAAAAAGAATCTGACCAAATTTGAAAGTGAGAAAATACCGTGTTACTGAAGACAGGGGTCAAATTTATTTTGCGGAAAATTATGACAAAAGTCGGCACTTAATTTTGAAGATGAGAATTAAGTATTCAAATATCTGCAACGGCATTCAAAATTTTAAGCAGACCATGTTTAAGTTTGAATTTTTAAGTTCTAGTATCGAATTTTGAATTTTTAGGTGAAAATACAATTTTTGAAATAACAAAAATTGCGAAAAAAAAATCCCGTATTTGCCTTAAATCAATGGTTTTGATCAGAAAAAAACACTCTGTAAATATCAGACCAATTGGGCAATCATTAACCTTGGTACAATGTATTCAATATCAGTATATGGGAAATACATGGCCTTGTATCGTTTCTTTTGTTGACTAGTATATTATCTTCTCAAAAGTGCATTAATCTGATGATTTAAAAAAATACATATCATAGTTTATGCATTTATAAAATTGATATTAAATAATATGCAATAATTAATTCTTGTTTATTTAACAAAACAAACAACAGTTACACTGTTTATCTAATAACATTTTACTTCATAAAATAATGTGGGACAATCAGCACTCTAAAATTTTAAAAAGTGGGACAATCGGGAATAAACCTTTTTGTTCACTATTAACAAAATATGCCGTATGGTATCCCAAAGTAATAAATTTTATAGCGTATGCCACCATTTTGGTATATTAAAAAGCATTGTGGATTATTTCTCATAGACTATTTATCAACTTCACATGGGGAATGGTGGTATACAGGGTTGAAAAATCAAAAGTTTTGATAGGATTAATTTCAGATAAAGATCGGGATTTTAAAATTATCCAGAAGTTCTTTAGGGTTTTTTAGAATCCACATATGGTTAATACCACTACGCAAGTAAACAGTTTCACAGTATTTCTGAAGACTCCCTTTCACTGCGGACAGAATTTGTGTCAATCTAATGTACAATTCTTTTGTAGAACATGCAGATGAGCCGGCAATGTACGTTGTTTGTACGGAATTTTGTGAAGCTTAGGTATCCAATACAAACAAGGTTAGTTCTCAGATTTGCTGTTCAATGTAATGTTCATTATAGCCATGAAGGACTTATGATTCGCCAAAATCGCATCCTTGTCAAATGATATGTTTTTGTATGTGGGATTTTATTCCTAATTCTTTTACAAGCCACTCGTAGTAGTACGATTTGCATACATGGACAATATTATTTGAAACTTTGTCCGCAGGAAAACAACATATTATCGTGAAGAGATGAAAGACATTTCGCAGCTTCTTTGTTTCTGAAAGCGGACTTTGGTCGATCATTCGCACAGTTTTTCAACTTATGAATTCGATGTTTTATCAG